TCCTTCTTCTGATATTTGTAGGCACTAGGCATGTGCATGGTACATAAAAACCATACATGCAGGCAAAAACAATAGTACATATAAAATAAATAAATCTAAAAAAGTGTGCCTGTGAGTGTGGGCTCTGTGTGTGTGTGTGTGTGTGTGTGTGTGTGTGTGTGTGTGTGTGTGTCTGTGTGTCTGTGTGTGCGCGCACACAGAGGATAGAGGTCCATCATTTGGCCTGGGGCTATCACAGAAGCCAGGCCTGGGGGAAAAGAGACAGAGAGAGAGGTGGGGGTTGGGGCAATGAGAATGGCTACAGTTGTTAAGGCCAATAGTCTGCCAGACTCTGGATAGAATGTAGATACTGGATAGAATGTAGATACTGGATAGAATGTAGACACTGGATAGTATGTAGCCGGGTGGGAGGAAAGAGAGCAGAGTGAGGAAATACTGGACCAAAGCAAGACCAAAAACCAAAAACCAGCTAGGCAAACTCTGAACTCTGCATCACCATATCAGATGTCAAAGCGCTCTTCAGATCTCCAACTACTTTGAGGTTGTTGAACACACTTCTTTCTTTTTAGCTCCACACACTGTTAGCAACTTTCAGGTGCTCCATGATTCTGGGGTCTCTAACATCTTGGAGTCCCCAACACAATCCAAGCTTCAACTTCACATCTTCACACAATGACTTGTGTTGACCTCCATTCAGGGACATCCCTGACATACCCTGGCCTCAGCAGTGAAGGGACCAGCTCCCCATTGCGGCAGCCATAACAGCCAGACACGTGCTTTTCTGACCTTGCCTTGGTCTCTAGAGGTTAGGTGCCTGCCTCGTGGCAAGGAACTAATCAGAAGTTAGCTGGTGGTGGTATGCTTTACGGCTCTGGGTGGGCTTTATGGACAAGCGCTCAGCAATGACTCGCAGAGCATAGCAACCACCCTGGGAGGGCCTATGGGCCATAACAACCAATTGGCCTATCAACAAAGGGCAAACCCTCCAAGCCTGGAGGCACACCAATCCTGAGCCTGTGCGTACCCCAAGACACTCCCCTTACGTTGTCCTATAAGATCTCTATGCAGCCCATTCGAGCTGTCTTTGCTAGCCATCTGCCATGGTGGGTGGGTGAAAGACCCAAGCTAACGTGGGGTTAGCTTGTTAAACAACAATAAAGCCTCATGCAGTTTGCGTCAAGCTTCCAACTCAGCCTGGTGATTGGGGTGGCCGCCGTCCTGGGCTAAGATCCTGAAAGCCTGAGCTTTCCGGGAGTCTTACAGCAGCTTTCCTTAGTTGCAGAGGAAAATTCCATAATCTCTTTCTTGTATCCTTGACTCTAAGGCTAGAATAACGTGTCTGAAGCTGCCAAGTTTTTCTGCTGGCTGGGGCTGGACCATGGCCCCCTTTTTCAAATATACTTTTACCAGCTTTCTGTTTTCAATGATTTCCTTCACTATCTAAGCTTGACTGATCTAGAACTTGCTCTGCAAACCAAGCTGGCCTTGAACTCAAGGATCTACCAGGCTCTGCCCTCCAAGTGCTGGGATTAAAGATTTGCTCCTCCATTCCTGGCCCTAAGGTTTTTAGACTAGAGCAAAAGGCAGCCACATTCTTCATCACAATATCATAAGAACAATCTATAGGCAATATATTAATATTCTTCTCTGAAATACCTTAAGCAGGCAGACATGGTGCTGGAGAGGTAGATAAGAGTTTCAGTAGTCAGCAGGAAAAGACAGCAACTTGGGCCACTCCCTATAAGCCTATGGGAGGCATTTTCATTCAACCCACTGTGGGAAGCTGTGTTTTCCGGGCTGCAGTCGATGCAGCCCAAGGTTTGTACCTGAGAGGGGGAGTATGGCTAAAGAAAAGCTAGCCACAGATGGTAAAGGAAAGAAGGGAGACACATAATAGAATCAGGAGGGCAGATTCAGTTAGTACTGAATTGCCATGAGTTTATTTTTCACCACTCTTATGTACCTTAATCAAAAAGGGGAACATGGTAACATGTATATGGAGCAAACAGACATTTCTTCCTCTTTATTCTAAGGGTTTAGTAACCACACCTCAGACCAGGTCTGTTGTTATTTAGAATAAGACAGCGAAGACCAAGATGGAACATTGTACTATAGCCACACCTTTGACCTTTAGGTCTTATGACTTGCTGAGGACAGTTTTGAACTCTGTGCCCTTGAGCCAAGATGGAATGGAGCCATCTTATGGCCACCGACAACCCACCACACAGGGGTAAGTCATGTCAGAATTGCAGAACTCCAGAAAAGACAACCAGATACCATTGTATTTCTACCTAACATACAACCCCTGGAGCCTGGTTAATTGAAAGAAAGAATGGACTCTTGAAACAACAATTGATAAAATGGACACAGTATCAAGCTGCCCTCTAAATCTGTTTCTATTTCATCATGGGTAATGCAGTTCTTAGTCCTTGTTAGACAAGTTTCTCAGTGCAGTGGATGGCAGTTAACACAGAAACACACACTGGGGTAAGTTTAGGGAATCAATGTGCTCAACCACAAATAGGACAACAGTATCATACCTATCACTGAAGGAGGAGCAGAAAGAGTATAAAGACCAGGACTTTGCATAACCCAACTACTGTAATCATGAACTCACATCATCTGTGGTTACATGCACAAGACCCCAACAATAACATGCCAGTCAGTATTCAGCATGGAGGGAAAGTGACTCATAAGCCCCCAACTCAAGCTGAAGCACTATAGCTGAGGAACTGTTGACAGTTGATTTCTGGGGAAATGATAGCTTTAATGAAGGGTGTGGCCCCTGGTAGGTGGACTGCACCCCACTGAATGGTCCCATATACATGAACACATGGGCAGCACAAATTGGACTCAGTGAGTTAGAACAAAATAAAAGAACACAAAAAGGGAGGTAGTCAAGAGGTGGAAAGTTGATCTAGGAGGAGTGGGGGATAGATATCATAAAATATACTGAATGCAAGCACAAAATTCTCAAATAATTAATTTAAAACATTGCATATATTTTGAAAAATAAGCAGCTCAGGCACTTAAGTGTAGGAGATACCCTGAACCAGTGGAAAAAGGCACCCCTAGAGGCCATAAGCTTGTTAAATAAAAATCCTAGTGCCTGAGGAGGGTTACAGTGGGTTACTTTGTTACAGGGCCTTGAGGGCCCACAAACCATCAGTGCTATCGCTGTTGCTGCCAACTTCATGCCACTAGATAGTGAGACCCTATTGCTGAAGACACAACATATTTTGGTTGCAGGACATGGAGAAATAAATCGGGGACTGAGCTACAAGCTCCCTACTTACAGGCTTATAATGCCAGAAGGTACCATTCGGGCTGCTGGGAAAGCATCATCACCAATACTACTGCTTGGCAATGTATTCTATGTGCTAAAAACAAAAGACAGGATGTGTCTACTTGTGCCACAATGGTACAACTATCTTGGGAACAATGAACAATTTGGAACTCCACATCAGTCACATCTGGGGAGGTCATATGCCCTAGTGGGGGAAGCAACTGCTATTATTTTATTAAAAGTATGTGATGTGCCCAGCAAACTGTCATCTAAACGTTTGTGCTTATGCCAGTAGGTCGCTGTTGCTTTCAGTGGAAATCTACCATGGAGGGAAACTTCCTTTTGCAATACATGGTGTACCTCAGAGACTCATAACCACTAGTGAAAGTCCTAAGTGACTGTTACTATGGCATAGTGGCCCATGCTTAGTCATAGACGAAAGAGATGGAGTGTTGTATAGCTGTCTATTGGATTCCTCAGAATTGAAACATTCCCTTCAGGGGGGAGGCTCTTGACACCCTGGAGGTAAACAAACTTCTACACATCTGAGAAAGCTGAAACTGGCAAGATTTACATGTCCCCCCCCTCCTTACCGTGACAGAAAAAGGAAACAATTGGAAGAGGAGTCTCTGGCCAGGTGGGCTGCCTACAGAAGATTCACAGAATGCCTGAAAGCTGTACTGGTCACCTGTGTTGGGATGGGCTTTTCAGTGATGCAGTTGTTTTGGAGCCAACCCTGTTCCTGTAAGTAACCCCAATAAACACTCACTAGTTAGCCAAGTTGGACTTTGGTGCAATCATTACTTTGGCCTGCTGGGGTTCCCTTAGTGGGGTGAGTAGACCTGCATGTGTAGTATCTCTCCGGGGAGAGCCTCTCACACAACCGGAGCCCAGATAAGGATAAGGATTTCAGCTATTGGCTATTGGCGTAGCTTAGACCTCTTGGTGGTGATTTCCATAGTTCACATCAAGCCACAGCAAGTGTTTGGACTGGTTTTATATGCCAAAATCAAAAAGCATATAGAGGCTTGTTTCATATCAAAAGGCTTGTTTCATATAAGCCATGCAGAGAAGAGAAGCTCCAAATCATTTTGTTGCAGCTCTGAACTCTCTCCCTGCTTCTCTCCTGCTTGCAGCTGACTCCTCCTTCCTGCAGCTCCCAGGATCGCAGACTGATTAAAGAACACAAAGGTTTAGTGGGAGCCTGTGCTCAGGCTCCCTATGACTGGCTTTGGTTCTCTCTCTCTCTCTCTCTCTCTCTCTCTCTCTCTGAGCTGAAACCTACCTGACAACCTTTGCCTTTGAATCCAGCTCTGGAAACAGATGCATCATTTTATTGTCCTCCCAAGTGATCTCATCAAGCTAGAGATGCTCCTTGGGAAGGACCCTCAGCATCCATGCGTGGGGACTTTGCAATCTGCCTGAGGAGTTTCTGCTTTCTTGTCTGCAATTTGGTGGTGGGAGGAAGTTTTCCGTTGATTTATTTACTTAAAATATTGAAAAGTTTCTTTTTGACGCCTGAAATGGATCCCAGTTTTAAAATATGGGTTGAGTCAGATCTTTCTAACTGAGACACGTCTGACCATTGCCTGCTGAACGAGCACATGGAACATCTAGAGAAACTTGGCAGGAGAAATAACATCTGATTAGCAACTCTCACGCTTTGAGAAAATCATCAGACTCGTTGAAGAGGGGAATTAAAATATTAAGGACAATGGCTTTCCTTCTCAGCAACTTAACAAATGACTCTAACCTGTGGAAAGTAAGTCACAATTCTACGGACCTTGGGAATTCGTCAGCAACTCTGAATCTTTCTCTTTTTTGCCTCATCTGTTTAATGACTCTCGCAGCTCTGGTGGGCAGCATTTTCTCACTGTTTTCCCTGCTGACCATGCAAAACAGAACTGTTGTGTCCATGCTTGTGGCTTCCTGGTCCGTGGATGATCTCTTAAGCGTCTTGTCAGTGGCCATCTTCATGTATTTGCAGTGGCCAAAAGAGGCTCCAGGCTACTTCCAGTCTCTGTGCACCACCTCTGCCTTACTCTATTTATGCCAGGGCCTCTCCAGCAACTTGAAGGCGACTCTTATAGTCTTCTACAACTTTTACACGATGCACAGGACAGTGCCGAGTCAGTCAGCTTCCTTGCGATCAGGACAGGTGCTTGGTGTGGCATTGACTGTGTGGGCAGTCAGCCTGCTGCTGGCCGCGCTCCCACTGTGTGGCTGGGGCGTCTTCGTGCGCACGCCCTGGGGCTGCTTAACCGACTGCTCCAGTCGCTATGTGCTGCTCCTCTTCGCGGTGTACGCTTCCGCCTTTGGGCTCCTGGCCGCTCTCTCTTTCCCTCTCACTCACCAGCTGCTGTGTTCCGAGGAGCCGCCGAGACTCCACGCCAACTACCAGGAAATTTCCCGTGGCGCCTCCACTCCTGGGACCCCTGCTGCTGGGGGAAGAGTGCTCTGTCTGTCGCCAGAGGATGTTGCGATCCCGGCTCTGCGATGTGCTGGGGGATGCTCCCCGAGCTCCGACACGGTGTTTGGCCCAGGTCAGTCTGCTGCCTCCGGCTCTGGAGCCAGCAGGCTAGAGAATCCCGGGACTCCCCATGGCACCAGCAGCTTCCCAGTGAGCCTGGCACAGAAGCGCTTTGCTTTGATCCTAGCGCTGACGAAAGTCATCCTTTGGCTGCCCATGATGGTGAGTACATTACCATGCGCGGGTGTGTGTGCTGAGCCCAGACGCGGGTTTGGGGAGCCACCCAAAGCTGCGCGGGTAAGTCCGCTCCCAAAGGCATCTGTTGGAGCTGAAGACACGCCTGGAGGAAAGCAGTTCACCTGGGGACGAGTTAGCCACCAAGCCTTGGCTACTAAGTATTTCTCAATCTAAGAAGGGTGGGGAGCCTTTTCGATCAGAGGAGACTTGGTTTTCCTTGATCATAGTCAAAGATGTTCTCCCTTCAGGCAAAATCTGGGTGTATTCAGAAAGAGAGGGGGGAACTAAAATGATTTTTCTTTCAACCTTCTGTAGCCCAGTTTTATCCCTTGTTTCCTCTTGCCTGGTAGGGACACCGCCCACATCCATCACCTAGAGACAGAAAGGTGTGACCCAACGTAGGGGAGGGAGCGAGGAAGGAGAGAGGAGGAAAATTAGCTTTGCTTCCCGGCTTCCTGGAGTGAGGTGGGAGGAGCGGTGGCGCTTGCTGTGACCAGAGCACCAGGGTGGAGACCTGGAAACAAGTGACAAATCCTCTGAGTGTCTAGTACAGGTCCCACGGGTTCCTGCCCCCTTCCCTGCATAGCATCTCTAGGTTATAGATGTACTGCCTCCCGGGGTAGAGATTTCAAAGGGCAGCCGGTGCAGACCGAGCTTTGAGAAAGGAACCACTACCCCCAGTCTGCTCCGGTGCACCGAAGTGTGTCCCATGCATTCCCATGATCCTGCCGCCAAAGTCCCAGGGTGTAGCCCAGAAACAGAGCTGCTATTGATCAAGAAAGGGGGCATGGATAGAAGACTTCAGCGGAGTAAGGGCTGTGAGAAAGGCTTCGAAAGTGGGAAAGAGGAATGGCTTAAGTCTGAAGTTCTTTGCCTTTCAGATCCACATGGTGGTAAAACACGTGGTGGGGTTTCAGAGCCTTCCTGTCGATACGCTCAGCTTTCTGCTAACCCTGCTGGCCAGCGTTGTAACCCCAGTGTTTGTGTTGTCCAAACGCTGGACCCACTTGCCTTGTGGCTGCGTCATCAACTGCCAGCCAGACGCCTACTCCGTTGCATTGGATGGGAAAAAGTGTAAGTCCTCCACAGTGACGGAGGGAGGGGGAACTACGCCTCCACTCAAATACAGCCAAGTGGACTATGAGAAAGTTAGCGCGATGGGGTGTGAGGATCCTAGGACAAGTGCACATGGTAAATAACGGGAAGAAAAGATAGAATTTTAGCTTAGTGTTGGAGTTGGTTTTAAACAACCCTGAGAAGTATTTATTCATTCGTGACATTTTTAGGTAAGAAAGGGGTGTGGAGGAGGCCCATTCAACTCAGCCCTTTGATGTCAACACAGATCCTTATATGTTAGCTTCTTCCTCACTTGTAGCTCACAGTAGAAAACTCAATCCCTCTTCCCAAGTCTACATGAGAGGAGCAGAATTGCTGAGCAGCCTGAGTTTGAAAAACGATAAACTCCCCAAAGAGCTTAAAACTCCCTCCCTGAGCTATAACCCATTCTTATTCAGTAAAACAGTAAAAAAAAGGTGTTTTCATTATTTTGATGCCTATTTTCCCCTAAGATACTGGAAAAGTTTTGTAGTGTCTGAAAATAGTCCCCCAGTAAATGTTCATTGTTCCCAGGCTGTTGGAAACACATTGCATCCCTAACACCTATCAATAAGCAAAAAATCCCCAAACTTAAAAAGTGGGGTTTTCTGGCTGTCCTTGTTTTTGCACCCAAGATTCTACCCATGCTGTTCACTTTAAGAAGTTGTTTCTGTTGCTAGAAGGGGGGAAAGGAAGGCAATTGTTTCTGTATTCATTCAGAGGCTGCAGGATTAGAGAGAGTAGGCCTGACCATATCATTTGATTAAAAGAAACAGTGTGATTCTTACTGCTCTCAATGAAAAGATAACATGGACAGAAAACAGGACAAGACCTCGAATGGGCTGTGTATTTTGATCCACTAAAAATAAAAGGGCATTTTTGTCATTCTAGACCAAAGGTATGCACTAGACTGAAAAAACTGCATGATTCTTTAGTGTATAATCAGTTAACTTCTGCTAAATGTCCCTCGCACTGAATAAGCAAGTCTATTTTCTTTAACAGAGAAGAAAGATTAAATAAAATCAGTTCATTTCAACTATTTTAGGGTTGTAAAAATTAAAGAATATCAAAGTATTTTTCTGCAACCAATTGAATAACAAGGTTTTTCTTATTAATTACTGGCCATTTTCATGTATTGATTATATTAAATTGCTGAATATCTAGATATTTCTAATTGATGAATATATTTCCATTGTTAAAAATGTCATTGTTTTATTGGTAAAATATGGCAAATTTATTTGCCTTTAAAGTAACTGTATAACTTAATAATGATGTGTTTCTAGAGATTAATAGCTAGAGTAATAACCACAGAAACAACTGATAGTAAATTATATGCACAATTTACAAAGGCATTTATCAGTAAGAAATTATTTACAAGCTGGTTCTAACAGTTGACAAATGTTACTGCTATGTTATTACATTAGTGCAGTGATTCTTTCTTATAAAATTTAAGATTGTGAGGGAGGCAAGCTCATGCCAATGGAAATGAAGTCTTGGTGAAGTGGGTTAGGCAAATATATTTAAGAACTGGGAAGTAGCCATATCAGAACTAATTAATGCCAAAGCAATGTTACCAGCCTCTCATTCAAATTACCAAGCAACCATTGCATCATCCACACTATACATGCTGGGAGAATCCATAGCCCGATTAGCAGAATCAGTGGTCACATCAGCACCACACTGGATATGAAAACAAGCTTTTCAAGACCAAAAGAATCACTTTCCCCTAAAATCACTATTACTTTTGTTAATGTTTATTTTAAAATTCCTAAAGAAAAATAGTTAGCTTTGAAAACATGTGGCATGTTTTCTTTTTCTTCTTTTCACATATGTAGTGTGCATGTGTGTATGCATACATGTTCACATGTATTTGCAGGTACATGTGTGTGATTGTGAAAGCCCAATGTTGATATTTGAAGCAGTCTTTGATTTCTCTCTATTATTATTATTATTAAGGCAAAGTCTTTTCAGTCAATCCAGAATTCGCCAATACAACTAGTGCTAGTGGGACTGATGCCTGTCTCTATTCCCAGATAAGCCTACTCATAGACCCAGCATTTGTGCTTGTTGTGGTTTCTGAGGTTCTGAACTCTGGTCCTCTTGCTCTGTGCCAAATGCTTTTAACTGTTGAACCATCCCCTTAATCCCTGAAGAAGGCCTACTTTAAAAAAGAAAAGAGTGGCTTTAAAAACAAAATGTTTCAATATCCCCCCTATCCTGCTCCCAGCCCCATCCCTCATGTTCTCATTCCCACCTGCCCTCAGTTTACTCAGGAGGTCTCTTCTATTTCCCCTTCGCAGGAAAACACATGTGTCACTTTTTTGGGCCTTCTTTGTTACATAGCTTCTCTGGAGCTGTGTATTATAGCTTGGTTCTCCATTATAGTTTATACCCATTTATGAGTGTGTACATACCATGTTTGTTTTTCTGGGTCTGGGTTACCTCACTCAGGATAATTTTTTCTACTTCTGTCCATTTGCCTGCAAATTTCATGATGCCAATTGTTTTCAACAGCTAATACTTTATTGTGTAATATGTTACATTTTCTTTGTCCATTCTTCTATAGAGAGATATCTAGATTGTTTCCAGTTTCTGGCTATTATGAATAGAATAGGCATGAATTTGGTTGAGCAAGAGTCCTTGTGATAGGATGAAGCATCCTTTGGGTGTATGCCCAAGAATTGTGTAGCTGGGTATTGAGGTAGATTGGTTCCCAGTTTTCTGAGAAATTGCCATATTGATTTCCAAAGTGGCTGGACAAGTTGGCACTCCCACCAGCAGTGGAGGAATGTTTCCCTTTCTTCACATCCCCTCCAGCATAAGTTACCATTAGTGTTTTTGTTCTTAGCCATTCTGACAGGTGTAAGATGGAATCTCAGAGTCATTTTGATTTTTATCTCTCTGATGCCTAAGTATGTTGAATATTTCTTCAAGTGTCTTTTGGCCATTTGAGATTTGTCTGTTGAGAATTATCTGTTTAGATCTGTACCCCATTTTTAAAAATTGGATTATTTGGTTTTTTAATGTCAAGTTTCTTGAGTTCTTTATATATTTTGGAGATCAACCCTCTGCCAGATGTGGGGTTGGTGAAGATCTTTTCCTATTCTGTAAGCTGCCATCTTGTCTTATTGTCAGAAGCTTTTGCCTTATAGAAGCTTTTCAGTTTCATGAGATCCAGTAGCACAGACAATGAGATGAGCGATTAATAAATGGGATCTCATGAAGTTGAATCTCTTGTGCCAATGTGTTTGAATCTGCTTCCCACTTTCTCTTCTATAAGGTTCAACTTCTATGAATCTACAGGGAAAACCCCAGATAGTCCTAGCCATATTGAATAGGTAACTTGAACTGGTTATTTCTTGGTTAATCAGATTTGTGACTACCCTTATTGTCATCAGAGAGCCTTCATCCAGTGACTGATGTAAACAATGCAGAGACCCACAGCCAAGCACTGGTTCTCTGAAGAGAAGGAGGAAGGATTGTACAACTGGTGGGGGAGGGGTCAAGGTCATCACAAGGGAGCCCACATAGGAACTCACAGATAATGGACCAACATCTAAGGAGCCATCTTGAGACTGACCAAGGCCCTCTACATAAGTGTGATAGTAATATAGCTTGGTCTACCTGTGAGATTCCTAACAGTAGGAGTGGGTCCTGTCCCTGATGCTTTGGCAGGCTTTTAGGAACCTATTCCTCATACTAGGTTGCCTTACCAAGTCTTAATGTGAGGGGAGGAACTTAGTCCTACCTCAACTTAATATGTTAGGCTTTGTTGACACCCATGAGAAGCCTGCCCCTTTCTGAACAGAAACAGAGAAGGAGTGAATTGGGATGCGGGGCAGAGGAGAGGTGGGGGAAGAAATGGGAGGAGAGGAGAGAGGGGAAACTGAGATCAGGATTTAAAATAAATAAATAGATATAATTTAAAATATGTAAAAACAAACAAACCCTAAAATGTTGCTAGAGAAATACTAATTTAGACACTTACTGGTCAAATAATTCCATTCCCTTTTACAATCCACACAATGCCAAAGGGAATATAGTAAGAATGTGTGCTTGTGGTAGGAAGCACCAGAACTTTCTTTTTATTTTTTATTTATTTATTTATTTATTTATTTATTTATTTAGTATACAGCCTTTTGCCTGCATGTATTTTTGCATACCAGAAGACGGCATCAGGTCTCATTATAGACGGTTGTAAACCACCATGTGGTTGCTGGGAATTGAACTCAGGACCTCTGGAAAAACAGCCAGTGCTCTTAACCTCTGAGCCATCTCTCCAGTCCCCATAACAGAGTTTTCATTGCTAGGAGTTCTGTGCCCCTTATCCTCTGGCAGAACAGGTGTAGGCCAGATATATGAACTCATTAGAAGTTTCATATTTAATTGTTTGCTCTTGACAAAGAAAATGCTCTTCCACTTACATTCTTTATCACTGAACTCCAGAGGCAATGAATGAAAATATTTCTTTTACTAATCCAAGCACACTAAAGATACTCATATCTTTCAATATGAGAAGATGTAAGTTTATGTCTGTTTCACTAAATGGTAACAGAAAGACAAGCAGCCAGAGAATAATTAGCAGAAACAAAGATTCCCTTCTGTTTTGGAAAGTTTTTATACTATCTCAAAACAAAAGCTTTTATGAAAAATTTTTGTTGTTTTTGTTTCTTTTAAGATTTTATTTATTTATTATGTATACAACATTCTGCTTCCATGTATATCTGCACACCAGAAGAGGGCACCAGATCTCATTACAGATAGTTGTGAGCCACCATGTGGTTGCTGGGAATTGCACTCAGGACCTCTGGAAGAGCAGTCAGTGCTCTTAACTTCTGAGCCATCTCTCCAGTCTCCTTTATGTAAATTTTAACCTAGCAATTTCATATAGTGTAGATGCAATTTTCAAACTCATATTTTCAGCTTATTTTGTCACAGAATCAGAGTGCCTGGTATATATGTGAGAATTATTTTATAAGCTAATGTAATTATTATAAAATTTAGGTTGGCAAGAGATAACTGATGCATGCTTGGTCCAGAGTTTGAAAACAGCAAAGTTGAGTGTAGGGCTATCCTCTTGGTCATAGGACCATATCCTTAAAGAAAATTAACTCTCCCTCTCCTTGAGAAGCCATCATTTGAAGCATAACTTCTGATCTGTCTTTAACAGTTAAAAAAACAATTTCAGTTAAGTGCCAAAATCTTAAGATTATGATGTTATTTATCAAATATGTATATCTGGGTTGATCTTGAAAATTATAAATAGCTGACTGTGCTGCTCCCCAACAAGTGGCCAGAACTGAGGAACTCTAATGAGATTCAGAGTGTTCCCATTAACTATACTACACTAGACTATCAATTATTACTTTTACTTAACTGGCTCCTATAGACATCCAACTTTTTCTATCCATTATTCACAATTTTATATTTTTGGTTGTAAGCCTAGCCTTTTTAACAGCTGAACCATCTCCCCAGCCTCCATTATTCATAATTTTGAAGACATAATTTTTGTGCTTAAAGAAACTGAAAGTAATAGATTTGCTAACATTTCAGTCAACATAATTTTGAACATTAACTGTTTTTTTCGTGTGTGTGTGTGTGTGTGTGTGTGTGTGTGTGTGTGTGTGTGACCCCTGTGTTCATGTGAAGATGAGTGTGATAGTCTGTGTATGGGCATGCAGAGACCAGAGGTTGACTTCTAATGTCTTCTTTTTGCTTTCTACTTTACATGTTGAGACTAGGTCTTTCACTGGACCCAGAAATCACTGTTTTGACTAGCCAGGGTAGCCAGGAAGCTCCACAGATAAAAATTCCAGTGCTGGGATTATAGATGAGCATCACTGGTGCCCAGCTAGCACATGGATCTTAGCTCAGCTCCTAATACTTAAGCAACAAACAGTTTACCCAGAAACTATCTCTGTAGCCCCTTGATTATTGTTTTTAACTAAAACACTGTCAACTATTCAGTATTTCATCAGTTACCTCAGCCAGGGTTTACCATTAGTGTTAAGGTAAAGCATTAAAAGCAAAAATTCAATAATTGCAAAACATTTTTCTTGGTTTTAATTCATGTACAGACTGACCTAGAAATGTCATATCATGCCTTTCTGCTTCCATTACTATGTTTCTTTCACAAGTTTGAGCAAGAAGAAAGTGACTTCATATGGAGTAAATCACTTGAATTCTGTAGCCAGTTAATTTTAAATTTGAATCATTTTGTAAGATAAGTAATCAAAGGTAGTTTTTCCTATTGATCTCAGTTTTCTCTACAAAAGAGGATGAATAACATTTCTATTATATAGATGTACCATGAAATAGCATGGCTGATCTATTACCTCATAATGACTTTGGCAATCTTCATTTCTTATGTGTATGTGATATCCAATGTATATGTGATTGCATGTGTAAAAGTATGGAGGTAAGAAAATGACTTTTGGGAGATAGTTCTATTGTGTGAGTGAGAGCTAAAACACAGGTCATCTGACTTGAATGGCAAACATCACTATTTATTGAGTAAGCCATTTTTTGTCACCTCAGACTTCCTTGTATGCTCCTGACCTGGAAACAGATGTTCCAAAAGCACATTCTGATCATGCCTTTAAAAGTGTTACACATTTTTTTACTCTCAGTATGCCAGTTACAATACACAGCTAACATTATGAAGCCAAGCATTAATCATAAAATTGGTGTTTTATGAGCACCCTTATTTTCTGAGAAGTTCTAGATTACAAATTTGCCACTTTACATCTTTGCTGGATAAGGGGAACCGATCAATAATTATGTCATCCTTGCAGTTCCTCAGCTTCAGCCTTAAAGTAGCTTAAAGGTTATAATTTAACTTCACTGGAATATATTACTGGGAAAGTAAAGTATAAATATAAGTGTCACAGTGTACAGAATATAATCATCTGCTTCTACCTTTCAATTTTTGATACAAATTTTTCTAATTTGTGTTCTGAATCCCACAAAAATGAATGATATTGATAAATTCTATTTTTCAGGAAGTAGAACTGGGCTGTAAATCTTTGGCTCTGGGAACATTTCAGTAATAGAATGAGCATGTGAACGCCACTAGAGTGTGTTGCAAAGTGAATCAAAATTTATGTATTATTCCCATAAAAACTTTATAGTTTTTCATATTTTTCCACCAAAGATAGCTAAATGCCTAACTATAAAGCATTGAGCTATCAAAATAGAAAGTTTTCTTGAAACAAGTCATGTTTTAAAAGGTGAAAAACAAAACATCCAACTGAATTTAGTACCACTTTGATACAGCTTGATTCTTAATATTTGAAAATTATCAATTATTAACTGACACTCATACACAAAAATTATATCACTTTCTGCCACACTCTCTTCCAAGACATTGAGCCATAGCCAACAATTAATAGTGTGATATTTGGAATACTTGCTCTTTTGACTGTTTAAATAATAAATGTATACATCTTTGCTAAACTTACCTTGTAATTATTCAGATTTATGAATATTTAAAAAGGCATCCATTCACATAATTATACATGCATTCATTTTTAAAACAAACGTATTCTGAGTTTATTTGTATGAGAAAAATACACGTTGCCAAATATGGAGACTCACACCTATAGCCCCCAAATTGAGACATAAAGGTGAAGATTTCAAGGCCAGCCTGTGATAGCTGTAAAATTCAACACCAGGCTTAGTGACAATTGAAGATTTATTTATTTATTTATTTATTTATTTATTTATTTATTTATTGTTTAAAAGCTACATAGTAAACCATGGTCTAATTTTCAATGTGTGCATTTGTAGACATAAGTGTTAGAAGTAGTATAGATAAAAATTATTGAAGTGATTATATCTTCCTAATAGATCATAATATGAAGGCTATTTTGTAATTAATTTGTAGGACAGTATAGTTCTTTCCAAAGTAAAGAAATTTATACAATGAGTAAACTGAGGGCTGAAGAGATGGCCCAGTGATTAAGAGCACTTGCTGTCCTTAGAGGACCTGGGTTCAATTCCCAGCACCCATATGACAGCTCACAACTGTAACTCTAGTTCCAGGGGATCTGGCACCTTCATACCAATGCACATAAAATAAATTTAAATAACTTATTTTTTAAAATGGTGAACTGAAAAAACTAAAACTCAATATATTTGAGAGTTTTCTTAGTCACAGTTAAGTTTCAGTTGTATGAAATTACCTTAAAGGCTGATTCTTTTAGATGGCTGCTTTTCAAGACACTCATAATGTAAGAGAAATTGGGCTGAGAGTGATAAGACAATTGAATTTTGTAGAACATAGGGCTTTGCGTACGCTACAATAAATAACTGAAGATAGTTTAACTCTGAGTAATGAGGTAAATGCAGTGACTATTCATGCTCACTATTTACATCCAGTGCTGTTTATGTCTTCCTGACTAACTGTGGAATTTTGTTATTTTCATTCAGCAAAGAGGAAAGGCTTTGAATTCAATCTGTCATTCCAACGAAGTTATGGAATCTATAAAATATCACATGCAGAGTACTATGAGGATGATGAAAATGCCATATCCTATCACAACCTGAAGAACTATGAGTCAGAAGCTACAAAGGAGCCTAGGGGAGACAACCACAATGTCTTCAATGCCATTACAGTAGAAATCAGCACCACGCCACCGTTGGACAGCAACATGCTGTCTGGTGTCAACAAGTGCACCAATACTGACATCCCAGAGGCACAGCAAGGCTTGATCGAGGAAAAGAGTTCTTTTCCTGTTAAAACAGAAAGTGAAATAAACTATGAAGAAACCACCTCTTTTGAAGGTCCAGAAAGACGGCTGTCTCATGAGGAGAATCAGAAGCCAGATCTTTCAGACTGGGAGTGGTGCCGAAGTAAGTCAGAACGAACACCTCGCCAGGTAAGGTAAAGTCTGTTCTACCTTGCAAAGTAAACCGAAACAAGAGCCATATGAAAAGATGATGAGTTTATTCCTTCATTAAATCAAACCCAAGGGTAATTTCTCTTGTCTCAATTGCTTTCCATGGTATCTCATTTTTACTCCAAGGCCTTTGAAATACTTCATCCATTTACTTTTCTTAGTTTTGCATTGCCAATCAAAATCTATATATTTTGGAATCAGTAGACATACATGGAGTCTTTGAGAAGTATAAAGCATTTTATTTTGACCTCAAGTAATATGGTTAAATCCAGACTGTACTCCAGAGCTCAAGTTCCTTGCTCTGTTTGTTAAATTAGTTAACATGTGGATTTTAATTTTTCACACACACAAACATATGACTTATTTCAGGATTCATTCTTGTCAGCCATCCCAACCCTTGACAAATGTCCCATTTCTTTAAGTATGAAAAGTATGGTTTGATGATTATTTAAAAACTGAAACAAATTGCATGAGAGTATTCTTCCACTTTCTGTTGATTCCTGCCTTCTGTGAGTGATAAGGAGTCTTCATTAATGTTTCAGCATTATGATGATATGAGCTGATTGGTGCTATATCCTCATATTTGATAGTTACCCTTATTTGGAGGTGGGCATAAAGTTCCTGGGGAGAAGGAGGCTTCTTCCACATTGTGTGATGGAAATCTTAACACTTGTCTTAATCTCTGGAATCAAAACCTGAACTCTGGGAGTGTTCTGCTAGGATTGATACATTCATTATTAAATGTATCCCTACATAGCACAAATATGAATGTGTATTTTCATGTGTGAATAATATATTTTACTATTATCATTCTCATATCACTATTTAAAAAGTAGTACACTACCAAAATGAGAATACAAAACATTGGGGAAAATATGCACATTTAGATGTTAGGAATCTCAGAAAAAGTTCAATATTTGCCACAAATTTAATAATGCAAAAAGAGAGGGTCAAAATACAAAATACTCCACATGCTAAGAACACTAAGACTCACTGGCTAATGGGAGACCTCTCACTCATCATCATTTTGTTTTTGGATCATATGAACCTTTAGTTTTCTTGAACTTAAAAATCAGTAATTCTTATTATGAAGTGTGTGTGTGTGTGTGTGTGTGTGTGTGTGTGTGTGTGGAACATACTCCTACCTCATTCGCTCTTCTGTTCCCTATCTGCCAGCTTGACCCTTAAAGATTGTGTCTCTGTGCTATTTTGTTTTATTGCCAAATTGACACAACACAGAGTCACCTGAAAAGAAGGAACCCGAACTGAAGAATTTCCTGGCTTGCACTGTCTCGTGGTTGTGTCTGTATGATCACTTTTCTTGATTGATAATTGATGTAGGACAGTCCAGCCCACTGTGGGCAGCACCATCCATAGGCAGATGATCCCAACTTTGGTAAGAAAGTTAGCTAAACATGAGGCAAAGAACAAAGATGTAAGCAACATTCCTCCATTGTTTTTACTTTAACTCCTGCTTAAGTGCCTATTCTTGTGATGAACGTTACCTGGAAGTGTAAGCCAAATAAACCCTTTCTTTTTTATATGTTCTTTGTTTTTTATTTAAATTCTTTAATTACTACTCACATTTACATATCCATCCCCCCATTCCCTTGCCTTCTCATCCTCCCATGTTCCCCACCAACCCCCCCCCCAACTCATCCCCAGGGATAGTGAGGCCCTCCACCAGGGATCTTCAAAGTCTGTCATATCATTGAACCAAGCCCTCTGAATGTGGGTTCTGGCTAAGAGGCCAAGAGAGTCTATGGTACTTCTAACAATGGAGCCAGTCTAGGATGGAGGGATAGCTTAGCTGTTAATGGCTAGGCTCACAACCAAATAAACCCTTTCTTTCCCAGGTTTTTGTCATGGTGTTTATCATAAGAGAAAAGCATGCTAGCACAATCTGTCATAAATGTGTCTTTCCAAAACAATATGGTATTTATTTTTCTAAGTTTCTCAAGACAATATGACAATGTATACAATTTTCTCAGAGTTTATTTTCAGCAAACATTAAATTATCTACTTTTTATAAATTACATGTTGTCAAAATATTAAAATTTATCTCAAATATCGCAATGTACAGCCATCATTTACAGGATTTTGTTGTAGGAACTTCAAGTGTCTAACTACATCTGGAAAAAATGAAAGACCTAACCTGTTTGTACATATGTTCCTGCTAATAGCACTCTTTAAATAAAAAGTTAAATTACAAGTGAAAATTTCATCTATGTAGGTAGCTTTCAGTTGTAAAGATTTGCTGATTGCATATTAACATTTTGACATCTATAATAAGCAAGTACCTTAGGAAATTTATATAAAATGATGGCAGTGAGAAAGATGATTGATGGTAAAATATGTTGGTGATGCCAGGCTTAAAACAGGTAAAAACTTACAAGAAACCTGTTGACATCAAGGATAATATTGTCAAACTTTAAAATAAAAAGAAATACTCATGTTGTAGATGGATGTGTTGATATGACCTTATACTCACAAAATTATTTATGATTTTCAGGATTAGCATTAGGTAAAATTATAAAATATTCATTTTTTAATTTTGTAAAGCATTTTAAATTTTTTATTCTTATTATCAACAAAATACAACTGGAGCTGGAGGACTTATCAGAACTTTTCCTAAGACCAGAACACAAGTTTTATATTTTACTTCTTACTAATGATATCATGGATGTAGATGCTGACATTTTCCATTTTTAACCTTTTCTTCCAAGTAGCTTCCTTGCTTTGAATATGGTAACTTAATAGTTTACAGAGTAATGTACTAAGATGTAGAAGATGCTGAAATTGCTATATAAGAACCTTACCTATTGAAACACTTAGACTCGGTTTATCTATCTGCACTATATTGAATAGTGTCTGTTTGTTTGTTAAGATTTTAAGCAGTAGATTTGATTTAAAATGTATTTCATGATCTCCAGGTTTCTCTTATGACTTGTTTAATTTTAATGTTAGTGTTTATGCTAGTAAGTGAATTTTAGGTATATTTTGTTACAACGTCAAAGCATACTAGTTGGGGCAGATTTAGTAGATTTAAATACAATTGAATGTAAACCATAAATTGTGGATATTTGTAAGACTGAAATTAGTGTTAAACCTGAGTAAAAAATTGCTTCTTGTCGGATATCCATGTAAATCCTATATATTTCACCGTTCATGTGTTTGGAAGAAAATGTCAGAGATATCTGAATCATTCAGTTAGAAACTTTAATGTGATGACCATGGCACAATTTTGTTTCTGAAAAAATGACAGCTTGTCCAGGCCTGAAATTCCATCATTTATGAATTATGAAAGTTGAATGTGAAATCACTTAGCAGCTTGTGTATCATCTCCCAAAATACTGAGCTCTTAAAATTACCCATGATTCCACTTTTTTGTTCTGGTATTTTTTTTTAGGGTTCTATGCTCATTCATTTGTTCTTATAATCCAGAAACAATGATATCCTTTCCTATGCCATGTATAATGTTTTCACCACAGTATCTGAAAGTGTTTTCTTAGGCCAGGAAAATACAGAAAATGCTTTCTGAAAATCCTCAAAGGATGTACAAAAAAAGAAAGAATACTATTGTTTGATTTTACCTCACAACCACATAGCCTTAGGGCAAGTGAAGTTGATAACTATTTTTATTTTATTTTTATTTATTTACTTATTTATTTTATGGGACATGAGTGGGTTATGCAATATATGGGAAAAGCCGTGTAATTTGCTGTGCTCTAGTTCAGAACATTCCACCCCCATGTCCCTGCCAGTCTCCATGAATCCATCGTATCTCTGCACCAGCTTGTTCTAGATATTACCTGTCATGGAGTGGACTTCCCGGCCAGGTCCATCCACATTCCGGTAGGTTGGTGGTGACCTTCAGGGGGAGGAGCACAAGGACAGTGGGTATGAGAGCTAAGAATTCCAGGGAAAAGAAGACTCCGACAGGTACATTTCAGGCTTAAAATCAGCTTGGTGGGTGGCTCACATATCTAATGACAGCACTGGGGAGGTGGAGGCTAACCTGGGCTACTTCTACCTTTAGGCATTGTATCATGTACCCGTGGAATCCCTTCTGGATGCTAGCACCATGCTGGGTCCTCCCAGGCTCCTGATCCTTGAGCCACATCAACCTCTTTTCCTCATAAAGGCCTTGTTTGAGGCTCGTGGACACTACAACACAGACAACCCACCACATACTCACTCAACAGACAAGATGCTCAAGCGGCTAGAGAGGTGGCAAAGTGCTCAAGAGCATCAGCTTCAGATAGGAACTTATTTTACCTCCAAAGCCACAGAGAAACCCTGTCGCGCAAAAAACAAAAAGAAAGGAAGGAAGGAAGGAAGGAAGGAAGGAAGGAAGGAAGGAAGGAAGGAAGGAAGGAAGGAAGGAAGGAAGGAAGGATTTTAAAGTCACTCGAGAATCAGTCAAAATCTATTATTATTTTGTATAGCTTTAAAGGAAAAACGCGTTTTGTCATTTAGACGCAGAATTCAGTATCAGCATGTGTTCCCAGAATATTTCAGTACTACTGTTTTACTGTTTTGTTAAGTAATTTTCATAGGTTTGTAGGCCAGACTGTCCATGCACAAATGGGGTACTTCTAAGAGAAAAATTGGGATTGAGTAGATTTAAAGTGGGGGGCCAACATATTGAGATGCTAGTGGACTTCCATGTGGTTCTGTGCAAATTATGGTAGCAATACTGTCGTACAAAATCAAACTCCCAATTTTCTCAAATGCACAATGAATAAAAGAGGAGGGAAACTTTAGCCAGGCACGGCAGAATCCACATTTGTAATCCCAGCACTTAAAATACAGACCAGAGGATTGTCAAAAGTTTGTTGCCAGCCTGTTCTTCCTAGTTTCCACACCTGCCAGGGTCATATAGAAACCTCCTATAAAAAGTAAAAAGGTAAATGAATGCAAATAATATTTGGAAAACAATATGTAAATGCAAGTGCTTGGGATCTAATTACTGAAAAATGGATTTAAGTTTATGGGTAGGACAAAATTAATCCTTCCATTTAATGAATGACCTATTAAATAATACTATAGGAAAATATACTGATATATTTTTACTACTCCTAAAAAAGTACAACTGTTCACATTTTAAAATAAACTATTAAAGCTAGATACAGTGTTTGCTGTGACACTGACAGTTTAATAGCTCCAGAGGTTAAAATTCATCAAATAAAACTATTGACATTTCTAACTAAATAACCAGCGTCAAAGAAAAATTCATTTCTACTGCTATCTGGAGCCTTTACTGAGTCACTCCAGCACAGATGACTTCTGGGAGTTTATATATTTTATTTTTAACCACTTCTATTCATTTGAAGTGGTTAGTTCATCATTCAGAGGTCAGAGACCTGCAACCCTATTACACTAATAAAGACAGCCTTTACTGCATTACTGTCATAAAAAATAATGTGGAATTATTACATAGCACTTAGAAAATAAGACAAGCAAAGAAAACATACACCAACCACCCAAACTTAAGAAGTTTTTATTTTGTCCTATAAACATTGAACTCTTTGCCTAGAATGCATTTTTGCTTTTGACAAACATACTATCATGGAATCTACATTCATTCACCAGAATAACTTTCACTTCCAATTTATGGCTATTATGAATAAAGCAGCAATGAACATTGTTGATCCAGTTTCCTGGTGGTAGAATGGAGCTTCTTTTGGGTATTTAAACAGGAATGGGATAGATGAATTATGAGGCAGATTGAGTCCCAATTTTCTGAGGAAACACCATATTGATTTCCATAGTTATTGTACAAGTTCTCACTCCCACCAGCAATGGAAGAGTGTACCTATTGCTCCACATCCTCACCAGCATGAGCTGATACTTATGTTTTTTGATCTTAGCCCCTAACAGGTGTAAGGTGGAATCTCAAGGAAGTTTTGATTTGCATTTCCTTGATGAGTAAGGATGTTGAACATTTCTTTAAGAATTTCTTGGCCATTTGAGATTCGTCTGTTGAGAAGTCCTTGTTTAGATCTTACCCCATTTAAAAAAATAGGATTGTTTGGTTTATTTTAATGTCTGGTTTCTTGGGTTCTTTATATATTTTGGATATTAGCCTTCTTTCACATGTGGAGTGAGTGGGAATATTTTTCCATTCTGTAGATTGCTGTTTTGTCCTCTTGACAGTGTCCCTTATCTTACAGAAACTTTTCAGTTTCATGAGGTCACATTTATTGATCATTGTTATTAGTGTCTATGCTATCAGCATTCTGTTTAGGAAGTTGTCTCCTGTGGCAGTTCAAGGTTATTCCCCATTTTCACTGTATCTGGTTTTATGTTGAGGTCTTTGATCCACTTGAACTTGAATTTTATACAGGTGATGAATATGGATGATTCAATTTGCATTTTTTCAACATGCTGACATCCAGTTAAACCAGCACCATTTGATGAACATTTTTCCATTGTGTATTTCTGGCTTCTTTGACTTCATTGATGCACCTGTCTGTTTTTATGCCAAGATCATGAAGTTTTTATTACAATAGCTCTGTTTAGAGCTTGAAATCAGGGATGGTGTTACCTCCAGAAGTTCTTTTATTATACAGAATTATTTTAGCTATCTTGGGCTTTTTGGTTTTTGTTTTTTCATATGAATTTGAATATTGTCCTTTCAAGATTTGTAAAGAATTATGCTGGAATTTTGATGGGGATTACATTGAATCTGTAGATTGCGTTGGGTAGGAATTTACAATCCTTGAGTAGAGGCTATCTTTACATCTTCTGATAACTTCTTCAATTTCTTTCTTCAAAGACTTGAAGTTTGAATTATACAAGTCTTTTACTTGCTTGGTTAGAGTTACACTAAGATATTTTATATTATATGTGACTATTGTGAAGTGTGTTGTTTCCCTGATTTCTTCCTCAGCCCACTTGTCATTTGTGTATAGAAGGGCTACTGTTTTGTTTTGTTTTGTTTTGTTTTTTGTTGATCTTGTATCCTGCCAGTTCATTGAAGGTGTTTATCAGCTATAGAAGTTCCTTGGAAGAATTTTTGAGGTTCCTTGGGTATACTATCATATGATCTGCCAATAGTGATACTTCAACTTCTTTTATTCCAGTTTGTATCCCCTTGATCTTCACCTGTCTTTTTGTTCCAACTAGAACTGCAACTACTCTGTTGAATAGATGTGGAGAGAGTGGGCAGCCTTGTCTTATTCCTGATTTTGGTGGAATTGCTTTGAGCTTCTCTCCATTTAATTTAGCATTAACTATTGGGCTTGCTGTAAATTGCCTTTATTGTGTTTAGATATGTCCCTTGTATCCTTAATCTCTCCAAGACCTTTATAATGAAGGGGTGTTGGATTTTGCTAGGCTTTTCTAGCATCTCTTTCCATTTATTTATATGGGAAATTAATTGACTGATTTTCTTTCTTTTCTTTTAAAAAATCTATTTATTTGTGTATGCAAGCTCTCTACTTGAATGTATACCTGACAGAAGAGGGCATCAGATCCCACTATCGATGGTTGTGAGCTACCATGTGAACTCAGGACATCTGGAAGAGCTATCAGTGATCTTAATCTCTATAGCCCTGACAGATTTTCTTATGTTGAACCATCCCTGCATCTCTGGGATGAAACCTACTTGATAATGTCTGATGATCTTCTTGATGTGTTTGTGGATTCAGTTTGCTAGTATTTTTATATCTATGTTCATTAGGGAAATTGGTCTGTAATTCTCTTTCTTTATATAATCTTTGTGTAGTTTGGATATCAGGGTGAATATGGCCTCATAACATGAATTTGTTAATGTTCTTTCTGTTTCCATTTTGTGGAATAATTTGAGGAGTATTGGTATCAGCTCCTCTTTGAAAGTCTAATAGAATGCTGTACTAAAACTTTCTGACCATGGGCTTTTTTTTTGAGAGAGGGGCTGTTAATAACTCCTTCTGGGATTGTGGGCCTATTTAAATTCCTTATCTAATACGGAATTGACTTTTGTAAGTGGTATCTATTGAGAAATTTGTCCATTTCTTTTAGATTTCCCAATATTGGCAGTACCTGTGTTTTTAAAGTAAGACCTAGTAATTCTTTGCATTTCTTTAGTGTCTTGTTATATAACCCTTTTCATTTCTGATTTTGTTATTTTTTATATTCTCTCTCAATCCTTTAGTCTTTTTTGAAAAGAGTTTGTCCATCATGTTAATTTCTCCATGAACCAAACCTTTCTTTCAGTGATTCTTTATATTTTTTTGTTTCTATTTTATTGATTTCAGTCCTTGGATTGATTATTTCCTGCCATCTACTCCTCTTGGATGAGCTTGTTTCTTTTGTTCTGGGGCTTTCAGGTAAACTGTTAAATTGCCAGTATGAGATCTCTCCAATTTTTTAATGTAGGTATTTACTGCTAAAACATTCTTATCCCTGTTTTCATTGTGTCCCATAAGTTTGGGTATGCTGTGCATTCATTTTCATTGAATTCTAAGAAGTCCTTAGCTTCTCTCTCTCTCTCTCTCTCTCTCTCTCTCTCTCTCTCTCTCTCTCTCTTCCTTTCTACCTTGACCTAGTAGTCATTCAGTAGAGAGTCATTTGATTTCCATAAATTTGAAGGCTTTCTGTCGTTTTTGTTGTTGTAATCTGTTTTTAATCATGATGATATGATAGGATGCAGGAGTTTATTTTAATTTTCTTGCATCTGTTGAGACTTGCTTTGTGACCAAGTACATGGTCAATTTTGGAGAAAGTTCCATGAGGTGATGAGAAAAGGCTATATTCTTTTTTGTTTGGGCGAAATGTTCTACACATATTGCTAGGTCCATTTAGTTCATAATGTCTGCTAGCTCCAGTATTTCTCTGTTTAGGTTTTGTTTAGATGACTGATCCATTGTTGAGAATGGGGCATTGAAATTTCCCACTATCAGTGTGTGAGGATCAATGTGTGATTTAAGCTTTAGTAGTGTTTCTTATTCAAATGTGAACATCCTTGTGTTTGGAGCATAAATGTTAAGAATTGAACAATCATCTTGGTGGGTCTTTCTTTGATGAGTGTTAAGTGTCCTTTCCTGTCCTTTTTGATTATTTTTGTTTTTGTAATTGGTTTTGTTAGATATTAGAATGACTATATACTAGCTTGTTTCTTAGGTCTATGTGTTTGGAAAGTCTTTTTCCAACCCTTTACTCTGAAATAGTTTTATCTATGCTGTTGAGATGATTTCGTTAAAAATATTTTCTGAACCTTTGGGTTGGGATTCTTCTCCTTCTTCTATTTCTGTTATTCTTATTTTTGGCTTTGCCTAGTGTCCCAGATTTCCTGGATGTTTTGGATCAGAAATATTTTAGACTTAACATTTTCTTTGACTGGTGTATCTATTTCTTCTGTCATATCTTCAACACCTGAGATTCTGTCTTCCATCTTTTGTATTCTGTTGGTCATACACATGTCTGTAGTTCCTGTGCACTTACCTAAATTGTATATCTGCAGGATTCCCTCCCTCAGTTTGTTTTTTTCTTTATAGCTTCTACTTCCATTGTCAGGTCTTGAACAGTTTTACTCATTTCCTTCAACTGTCTGTTTTTTTCTTGGCTTCCTTTAAGGGATTTATTCATTTCCTCTTTAAGGACCATTTTCTTCTTCATCAAGTTGGTTTTTCAGGTCATTTTCTTGTGCTTCAGCTCTGGTGAAATATTCACGGCTTGCTGTAGTAGGATAGCTGGGCTTTCATGGTGACATATTGTCCTAGCTGTTGTTGATTATGCTGGGGTATAGGTATTTGGTTTGGGGGTAATTATAGGTATAGGTACAGATTTCTGAGTTTGCCTTTGTTGGATGGGTGTTTTGTTCATTGGTTTATGTTTCCTTTCTTGTCTTCTGGCCAGAGTGACCTATGGTTAAGTAAAGAGGCTCTCGACTCAAGTTGGAGCTAGAGTTCTGATGGTATGTTGTAACCCCTGATCCATCTGGAGGTCCTCTGCAGGGACAATGCTGGGGAGGGTGGGCTACCTGCTGTTCTGGTGACTGGAAGCATATCCTCTGGTTCTGCAGGGTGCCTCTACTGGAGTCATGGGGGTGGTGGTCACTGGGATATGTTGAGGAGGAGGGGAAAGCCAGTTGTTGGCATTGGCCAGATAAGACTTGTGCTTGCTTTCTGTTGTAATTATTTAAATTACATTTTATTACACTAAAATATTATTGTCTTGCTTAATTTTGTGCAATTTGACTCAAGCTTACCCTAGAATGTGTGTATGTTTCTGGTAGCTTTGGTTTAATAGCACTAGCACTTGAAACACACATAAGAATGCACAAACTGGACTTTTAAGTACAAGATTTTTCATGAATCCAGGACAGCTTGGACTTTGGGACTTATATTTGTCTTGA